AAAATATTGTCTTTTTTTTTTTTGCTTGTTTAAAGAAGGAGAAGGACAGGTAACTAGTTATTTTCTTGGAGTCTTTATGCTGGGTGTTGTCAAATTCAATGTAGCATTTAACATTTACACCTATTATCTTGTGTTTGATGTCAATGAGTTTTCAATACCAGTTTCTATGTCAATCAGTTTTAATTTTTGCCCTAACTATGAATAAGGCCCTCCTACCTTCAATTCGCAATCTCATCAGAATATGAAGAGGCGCGCTCTTAGAAAGAAAGATGGAGATGGCATGGAGTGCTCAAGTCATCTTCTGTCACTCACCATTATCGTCGTTATTCGTTGCCTCTACTATTCTATTCTCACTGCAAGTAATATCGTCGCTGTTTTATTTCTCCACTGTGCTATTTGCCTAAACCCTAATATGAGTTTCTTTCTGTTTGAGATCAGTTTTGAATCTGCCCACCAAAGGTTGCAATAAAGTGTCTGAGGCTTAAGGCCTCATTACCATAGTTGGTCCATTAAACAGGATGAGGAACTCTACCAAGTATTTGTCATTCAAGCATGATCAGATCCGAATTGCAATATCTTGAATGACCAAGTACTTGTTAGAGATCTAGTTTATCCTCACAAAAGGAACTAGCCTTCGTTTTCTTTCTCCCTAGTAAGCTATTTTCCTAAACCCTAATACTAATTAATTGTTAACTACTAGACTACTTTGTGTTTTCATGGTTTCTTTTATTTGGCAAAAGAAATTCAGTCATTAGAAGAAAACTGCTATTGAAATCATAGTTTTCTACACTAATTTTCTAACCAATATAAAAAAGTACGGACTTTTAACACCACCCATTTCTACAACGATTGATTTTTCAATGTCAAATGTCCATTCTAACCATTGTAAAAGATCTTATTTTTTTAAATTTTTTCTCTCTTCCTCTTATTGGGGTGTTTGACCTAACTAAATAGTAAATAGCGGTGGCATCATGAAGGAGAAGACCAAAAAAGAAGAAGAATGGTTGCTATATATAGAATAGCATCCATACAAGGAGTCGGAATATGATTCCAACTTGGTCCATTATTCAGGTCAAAATAACAAAAGTTGGTCCATTATTATTTATGCGGGCATTGTCAAATATTGGCGCTTTCTGATTATGCATGTGATATGCTTAATTATAGGGATAGCTTTGACCCACTATCGAAATTCAACCCATTTAAGATTTATTTGGGTAAAAAGGAGAGGAAGAAAGATTATAATGAGTTCAATTTAAATAAAATGTATAAGTGGAGTTATAATTTTTTTATTGAGATTTTTTCATGTTACATCTACTCTTAGTTAAGAATTTATAATCCCACCTCTCCGTTTTTTTCACAATGCTTACGTGTAATGGGCCATTTTCTACGTGCGTATCTCTAGATTTAGTTCTTACCCATTTCAAATTATTTTTTTAATTTTTTTGTTTAAACAATAAAATATATGAATTTCATTTCATTTGTATGTGTTTGGATTAACTTTTGAAAAATATATTTTAAAGAAAAGTGATTAATAAGTGATTTTGAAGTATAAACTTTGTGAAATAATAATATACATATAAAATATGTTTGGATATTTGTTGTCATAATTGATCACCTTTTTTATATGTAAATTACCAAAAATAAGTCATAACTCATTTTTTTTGGTTGAAAAAAGAGGATTTACAATTGAATGTAGGTTAATATTGTTAGCATATTGTTCTCTAACACTGTCGTTATTTTATTTTATTTTTTTCAAAAACTTACCACCCTAACTTCATAAAAAATCATGGTTTTGGCGTATGAAACCACGGTTCTAACATAATAATCAATGTTTAGATTTTAAGAGGTGTTTGGGGAAATCCTCGTCAAAACCTATTTGAAAAAACAAAGTATATGCAAGACGAACCAATAATCTCTAAAACCCAACTTACCATTTTAAAAAGAAAATCTCATTGAGATAGGTTTTCCCATTAGATCCACTGATAACGCACACTTGAATCTTGATGATAGTTTAAAAGAAAATGCAAATAAATGAGTAAGTGGAAGGAACCGTGATGTCTCATGCCCCCAATTACAAGCCAATTCTTCAAATGAAAAGCTGGCTAAGTGCAGCTCTCGAGGACATTGTGATAGTTGGCGGGTGATTAATTAATCGAAGGCATAATTATTACTAAGCCCACCAAATTATTGTACTTTATGGTTCAGCGCTGACTTTTTTAGGTCAAAGAATTAAAACCATTAGTACGTTTTATGGGGACATAAATCATCAACATCATAATTATCATAACTATTGAAAGGTGAGGTACTAACATTTAGCACCCAATAAAATTTTAAATTACTAAACACGATTGCTTTCGATTAAAAAAAATACATATGCTTAGAAAAAAAACCTATCATTATTATCCATATATTTCCTCCATTCCTGTTATACTATTCAAATAATCAAATTATCTAAATAGGAATGTCCATTAAAATTAGTTAAACACATTAAATGTGCAAAAAAATGCATTTTATTTTCTAAAATATCATTATTTATGGCAAAAGAAAGTGAATGAGAGACAACAACAAAAAAAGAGTAGAAAAATGAGGTGCTCAAGAAATAATTAATGAAATAATCAAACTATTGAACAAGGCAAAAAACTTACAGAAAAACTCTTCAAGTATATATATATATATATAAAAGTCCTAAATTTGGGATTTGAATTTCAATAATTCCAAATCAGCTCTCTTACCTAATTTAAAATTTTGAAATGTTGCGAAAAAGATATCATTGCCCCTCACTATCACTAGCAGTCAGTTGCCAGAGTTCTTATTTTAACAACCTAGCTAGCGAGAGATGACTCTACTAGTGATTGGTAGCTAGAGCTCTGATGGCAATGACTCTTCGTCAATGAGACACTTGTTAAAATTTTCAAAACAAGAATAATAAATAGTAAAACCAAAATTATAAATAGCATAGTAAGTAATGCAAATACTCGATGAAAAGCCAAAACAAAACAGAAAAAGTCAAAATTTCAAAAGAGCAAAAGTAAGAGAGAGAGAGAGATTTTAAACCTCATTAATTTATTCTTAAAATTCAGTAATTTTTAATTTTATTCTTATTTAATATATATATTTTCTAATAGATGGCAAATATGCACACATTTTCTAATAAAATGATAAATTTAATAACCTACCAGGCGAGAACTTATGTAATGATAAAGAATGTAATGTAATGGACTGATGTTACAGAATATATGTTTGGTTTCGGGAATGATAGAATGCATTTTATTTTTTATATTTAATGAGATACAAATAAATAGGAAAAGACCAAACAGCCCTTGAAAAAATTTAGAGTCCCCTTCCGCATCCTTCCCTCGTGTATCAAACCATCATCTTCTTGAAGGCAAAAAAATCAAACCATCATCTTCTTATCTCCTTCCTTCAACCCAAGCGCATCAGAGGCTAGATCAAGTCGAGATCCACTATGGAGGAGATCTTTCCTTTAGAAATCTTGAACCATCATCGTCTTCCTTCTCTTTAATTTTTTTATCCTTCGTTCTTTCTGATACAAAATCAATATTAGACCTTGGAAGAAAGGCGACAAAGCTTATGGCTATTGCATCAACTATGGAGGATGAAGCTTGTAGGTCCATCATGGATAATGGTGACTTGGGAAGAATGATGCAGATTTGACGACACCCACTGTGAAGCAGATCTTTTTGACCTGAGGTTCACCAATCTTGCAATCCACTATGGCTAATAATGTTGCCAGACAAGATGCGGTGATTGGTGAATGCAGGTGGAGGATTAACTAATGTATATGGAGTGACATTAGAAACCTGCTTCTTCTCTCTCTTTCATCAACTATAGAGGATGAAGCTTGTAGGTCCATCATGGATAATGGTGACTTGGGAAGAATGATGCAGATTTGACGACACCCACTGTGAAGCAGATCTTTTTGACCTGAGGTTCACCAATCTTGCAATCCACTATGGCTAATAATGTTGCCAGACAAGATGCGGTGATTGGTGAATGCAGGCGGAGGATTAACTAATGTATGTGGAGTGATATTAGAAACCTGGTTCTTCTCTCTCTTTCATCAACTATGGAGGATGAAGCTTGTAGGTCCATCATGGATCTTGGGAGGAAGGATGCAGATTTGACGACACCCACTGTGAAGGAGATCTTTTTGACCTGAGGTTCACCAATCTTGCAATCCACTATGGCTAATAATGTTGCTAGACAAGATGGTGATTGGTGAATGCAGGTGGAGGAGTGATATTAGAAACCTGCTTTTTCTCTCTCTTTTTTTTTACAAAAATGTATGTAAGTTTCTCATAGAATTCGGATATAAAAAAGATTACCATATATATCATAAAATTTCTCCACCAATTCTTTCTAATTGAGCCTCTTGATATGTCATTATACCTCGAGAGGTGGCCGAAGAGGTTCCCTAGCAGAGGTGTATTGACGGTAGAGATTGGATAGTTATGTCTCAGGTGCAAGAAGACTATAGAGGGACAAGGGCAAAAAATGTCTTTTTCTATATTCCCACATGTTGTAATCCCCACTCATATGTCCTAGTAGTATAATCACAATACATCCACTTAAGGTAATGGGCATTACAAGATGTAATTCTTTTTACATTACATAAGCCTAACCAAACATTTGAATAAGCCTGTTGTACTAGGATTACATATAATCGTCTTTTATGTAATTGAACCAAACTGGCCATTAGTAATCGTCATTTTGATGAGCACGCTAAGCTTATCAGATCTAGACCTTCTATATGTGATTTGAGGGTCTGGATTTAAAATTTTTAATTAACTATGTTTAAATAGAAAAAATTATATTTTGAAAAAAATGATAATTAAGAGATTATCTCTAATTTAGATTCTACACATATTAAAATAATTATTTTAAACAAATAAAAATAAAAAAGATTTCACATTCAGACCATCTAAATGAAATATGAATGATCAAAATCTGATGAGTAATGCCAAAATTGGCTCCCATGATCAAACATTTGGAGCAAATCCATTGGGTTCCGGCTCTGTCGAGATGCTCTCTCCACTCGCAAACCACTGCACAGTTCGCTCCACAATCGGCAACCAAATCCTCCTCACTTTCTCTTCCCTCTCATTATCCTCCACGTTGACGCTTTCTGCAAACCTCGCCACCTTGGCAATCTCCGACATGGATCTCTTCTCCCCCGGAGCAGTCAGCAATGTAAACGAGTTGTCTTCCTCAGAGAATGTCGTGCTCAGGATCTCAGAATTCAACGACAGCAAGTCCGACGAATTAAGATCACTCCATCTGCTCCTAGTAGCTACATCAGATATAACTATTTTATGATTAAGTCTATGCACAGGTTTCCAATCATTAAATACAGAAGAACCCATGTTTGATTGCTCCCTCTGAACAAAGATTTCAAGGTCGGGAACTTCTGTTATGTCGGAAGGAACTCGAAGGAACCTGGAACTGATGGAGGAATTGAATGTCTTGATATCCTTAAGATCAACCTTGTCTCTGCAAAGAGGACAAGTCGAGTGACATTCGAGCCACCTATCGATGCAATTCATGTGGAAAGCATGCTTACACTTCGGCAGCAACCTGAGAACCTCAACATCATCGAATTTTGACAGACAAACTGCACATTCTAAGCCTTCTTTTGACCCTTTGAGTGAAGAGAACTTGAAAAATGGCAGTGCTTGGATCACTTGTTTGTCTATCCCGGCATATCTTGACCCAGATGAAGATCGACGACTTATTCCTGGATTATTGTTCATATCTAGGTTTAGATCATCAGACTCAGTAAAGGAGCGGATTTTACAGAACTTTACGTAAGCCAGAACGAGAAATGATATGCCCAACATAGCAGTAAGGATTGCTATTATAATTCTTTTACTTGTGGGATGGATGTTTTGAGGCATATCTTGCAGCAGGCTGCTTTCTGGTGTTCCTTGGGATTGCACAGCCAACAACAACGAGAGAATCATAATGAACACCACCAAGCACTTGCTCTTCTTTGGCATATCTAGCCTACGAGATCACTGATTTTTAAGGTTTTTTTTTTTGCCCTCAGACAATTCCAAAAGGTCATTTTGTTTATTTTAATATTTCTTCTCACTGTAACAATCCCCACGAGGAGATGTTACTATGTGTTTGTTGGTTTATGATGACATGTCTTTGTCTTGGAAAATTAACCAAGTTTATCTTGATGAAGGGGGCCCTTCATTCATAGTATAGGTTTAATACCCTTTGAGAAGATCAAGAGAATGACATTAATTAATACTAAATGATGCCTACCTACAAGAAACAAAGCAATTGATCATGATAAAGTAATTAATATGCTAAATCAATGGTTATTAAGCAAGCAAAGTAATTTTATAGACATAGACATTGCAGATGATGACACCAGTAGGCAGTAGGCTTCATCACGCCAGTTTTTTCTTTTGCCACAATCCAAGAATATCACCCCATACATACGATCAAGACGAAAAGATGTATTTTTATTTTTATTTTAATTTTTATTCTATTATGTTTCATTCACATAATGCACTCACAGAGACATGCATCGCAGGAACACAAGGGAAGAAAAAGGAAACTTTGGTTGCTTAAATTTAAATAAAGAAAGATAATTAAGAAGTTGAAGGATGGCAATTCTGAGGAAATTATTAAATGAAAAGTGAGTAATTAAATCTCATATTGTTTGTAAGGGAAAAACATATTACTAAAATAGTACTATCTTTAGTCCTTAATGTAAGAACTAGTTTGATATTCAATTTGGTTCTACATATAGGACCTTAATTCACTTTGCCTCTCATATTTATCTATTTTTCTCAAGATAGTCATTATATATAGTCACACATGTTAAATATTTCATCAAATGATAATTCTAAATTCTAGCTAATACGCATGATTAATAAGGATATTTTAAAAAAGACAATATATATTTATTATAAATTATTAACTTAACTAATTTTTTTAAATCTTCTTAAATTAATTAATTAGTTTTTATATTAAAGATAAGAGGTAGAATATAAAACAGTCATGGAACCACATTGCTCAGGAAGGCCCGGGACATATTTTGAATTTTGTGCAAAAGCAAAGGTCCAAAAGGCTAAATGAGTCAAGGTTTTACACAATATCCCTAAAATTGACAAAAAAACTGAAACCAAACTAAAAGTCAGGGTTAGGGTTAAGGTTTTATCTATAAATTGGAAACACTGTTGCCTACCTGAGAATTAAGAACCCTAAACTGGAGGATGAAAAACGCAAGGCTAATGAGTCTTATAAAGAGAAACATGCGGAGCTGAATGGACGGCTCTGATCATACAATTCAATGATCAATTAAAAAATAATGAATAAAATGCATTAATTTCCTTTGCATTTTATTGTAATTATGCGGACCTCTTTTTATTTTAAAAACTTACACTTAAGTCCAACTTACTAATTCCATTAAAAATATTTTAAAAAATGGTTTTTGATTAAAATTTATGATACAATAATTTTTTATTTATTAATTTATCCATTATCGTACTATAATCTTCAATTTAGATTAAAACTGCAGTGAAGACTTTAAGAGTCCACTTTTCTTTTCCTTAGTTTGATCTTTTATTTTGGCAAATATTTATTTGTTTAATATTTTTATCATATTGAAAAAGACTTGAGTGATTTAGTTAATTTACCCATAACAAATTTGATTAATTGTTTAAATAAATATATAATTGGGTAAACATATTCATAAATGTTTGTAACAATTTTTTTAAAATTTTAAACTATAAATTTAAATGAATTATATAAACTTACATCATTGATACTACTTGATAAAAAATATATATGTTTAAAATATTTCTAAGCTATTTAAAAGAAACCTAAATAAATAATTCTCAATAAATGTGATGAACATTAAAATTATAAAATTTTATAACGTAATCAAAGTTAATAAATTTTATAACATATTAGAAATTTTGAAAATATTAAAATTATTTTTTGGTTGCATAAAAGTTTTTTTCACAAATATAAATGTTTAGACAAGTCTTATGTTTTCTTTTTTTTTTTGAGCTGAGAACAATCTTATGTTAAGGAGGATATTTTTAATTAAAATAAAAGTTTAACAGCCAAATTTGTGTAACATACAAGTTAATTACAGGGGAAGTTTATATATGCTTTCAAAATAAAGGGAATGTTTCCATAATTTAGATAAAACAAAGAGGTGGCTGATCTAGTATATTTTACTAAAAAATATTCCTCCGATTTTTAATGTAGGGTATGATTAGGGAGTTGATGTTAATCTTACATGTAAGACATATTTCATATGTTTATCATTTTTTTCAAATTAACCCCTATTGATATTCTTCCAACAGTAATTAAGTAGGAGAGGAGGAATGGAATTAAGAAAGATGCTGTTTTAAAAAAAAACATATTATATTAACTAATTTAACTAATATCTTTAATCTACTCAAATTAATTTACTAAGTCATACATTAAAGATTGGAGGAGTAATTAATTATGAAAATATATAGATGCTTTGAAAACTGGATGAGCAAGAGGATTTTTCAAAAAATTTATGCACGAGAGAAAAGAAGAGAGGGGAATTGAAATTTTGCTGAAAGTGACAAAATCAAGGGACATGTTCCTATTTATAAGGAAAAAGTTTATTTCTAAATATAAGTCATTTGTAGGTAATTAATAAACTTGTTTTAATTGTATCCCTATTGATTTAATAAATACAGAGAGAGATAAGATAAATAGGTAAGAGAGAAATATAAAACATTTTCAATACCCTTTCTTTAATAAGAGCAAACATGAAAAAAGTTATCTATTAATACATTTCTTGATTTGTGGGTTTGAAATATAAATAACTTATAAATAAGCACTGAGTAACAATTGTTACAACGTCCTCTTCCCTGGATCCCATTACTAGCAGTGGTGCTACTACTTTTGACACTAGCATTTAGAGCTTGGTTGGTATGCTGAAAATTGGGCTCTAAAAAAGAAAAATCAAAATTTTCCAGGGACTTGTTACATTTGGTTAGATAATCTTTCAAGAAGCGATTCTTCGGTGGCAGACAATTTTCATCTGCATAAAGGAAAATCCGTTCCCACCATTTTTAGTGGGAACCCATTTTTCAGCATAGGTAGGCAAATGCGCAAGATATAATTACTTCTTAAAGCATATGTTATTGCTCTCTACTTATTCTTCACCTACTACTTCTTCCTCGTTCCTCATTTTCCTTTCTTTCCATCTCCTTTTCTTTCTTCATCTTCATATTCATCACCTTTTATTGCTCTTCTTGACAAACAAAACGTTTCATTCATTAAAAGAGGGGGGGGGGAACATCACCCAACCTTGACCCATAAGCCTTTTAGCTCATTCATCAAATTTAGAACTTGCTTAACATTCATGACCTGCATGTAAATATGTTTGAAGTGAAACTTGTTATATATAAAAATAGACTCAATAGGCTTTTTAGCAACATCTACAAAAAAAAAATGTTTTTTATATGAAATAGATATGACTTTTCAAATCTGGTTTAGAATCTGCTAAGAAAAAACGTTTTTGACCCGTGCTAACAATTTTGATCATAACTTTAAAATTACAAAGTGTTTTTGAATGGTCTTATTATATTAAAAGATAGACTCAAGAAGCTTTTTCAAACATAGGTTATTTGTCCAATTTGAATTTAAATTGAGAAAGTTATATCTAATCAAAAGTTACTCTAGTCAGAACGTCAAAATCAAAGTGTAATAGAAACGTAATAGATTCAAATTGCGCTAAAAGTTGGAATGTATTGTGTATAAATTAAAATTTGCATAAACAAGCAAGGCATGCTCTTGTCTCCTCAGTTATTTCTACCATCTCAAATTATACCATGCGGTCAACCTTGTTACCAAATAATGTCTGTAAAGTGGTCGTTAAAAAAATTTCGAAGCTTTCTTTGGGAAAGCACAAGTTCAACTAGGAAGATGCACCATGTTGCTTGGGAGGATGTTTGTAAGTGAAAGCATCAAGGGGTTTGCGTTTAAGACAAGTAAGTATGCAAAACACTGCTTTTATGATGAAGCTCGGACGGGGACAAGTGAAGCGAAGAGATGCCTTGTGGGTGAGATTTCTATGAGAAAAATACAAATGTGGGAACGATATTTTACCACAGGTCAAAAAGCAAAAATGTGTCCTAGACATGGAGGGGTATCTCGCTAGCCTGGAAGTCTATTAAGGAAGGTATTGGGTCTTAGATTTGTTTCTGGGAAGATGTTTGGCTACTAAATCATAATAACTTTAGTTCTTATGCGCTGAGACATGTGGATGATGCCATTTGAAACATGAAAGCTGCTGATTATCTCACAGATTCTAGTACGTGGGATTGGCATCGGTTTTCATCTTATCTCCCTCCCATTGTTCTTAATGCTATTGAATGTGTTCCTCCCTCAGAGTTAGGGAGAACAAGTGACACTCCTAGATGAAAGGCAACAAATGATGGGAGGTTTTTGGTAAAGACAGCTTATGCTATGCTTTGTAGGCTAGATGTGTCCACTCCCAGGAGTTTGTGGTGAAAGATATAGAAATTTTCAATTCCTCAAAGGTGTAAGATGTTCCTTTGGATTTATGGGAGGGGAAGGCTGTTTACTAATAGTGCTCGGGCTATGAGAGGGTTGCATAGTTGGATGGAGTGTCATCTATGTGGAGCTACGAGGGAACATGCCATGCATGCACTGTGTGACTACTGTGTGGCACGAGCTTACTGGGATGCAATTGTACTAGATTAGCTACGGTTTAAATTTGTTGATGGTAGAGATCTATTCGAGTGGATTGATTGGAATATTGGTAACAGTTAGAAGGTTATAGGAATCTCATGGGGTGTGTAGTTTGCTGTTTTGGCTTGGCAAATATGGCTAAATCGTAACGCAGGTGTTTTTAATCGAAAGGCTAAGGGTTAGGGTGGATTTCTTTCTCAAGCCAAGGCCATTATTGCTTGTTTAAATGGGAGCTCAAGTGAGATTCCGATGCAGCTCTTGGTGACTAATGCAT